GCTGCTTTCTTTCTCCCAACGACGCAGTCTCGGCCATCCGATAGTGGCCGCCCAGTTCCTCATCGATGGTGGCCTTGTTCTTCGACTCCCATGGGCCCAACGGCAGAAGCAGTGTCTGCATTACCTTGCGGGCAACACCTAAAAAACGGATATCCTGGAAAAAGGTCCGCAGGGTCAGAATAGGAGCATCGATCAACTGCAGTCGCTGCCAAATGTCCTCTCGAGTCTTGGGATCTTCGATCGACGGAAATAATGTCTGTTTGACCATCTTGCCTTCCAAGAATCCCAAATCTTCGTCCGAAACTTTTGGAACCCGAGATTCCAAAGCCTGGACGGTCTCAACATCGGCATGGACGGCAAGGGTGACGTTTCCGCCAAATATGCGTTCAACCCACATGCGACGAATCCCCTGAAGATAGAACAGAACCGGCTGCAGAGTGATAATACCACTGTTAGAAGGCCCTTTTCTTTGTTGTTGCTCTGAGTTGCGTACCTCATCGCATCGCAGCGCGATCAGGCTGTGAAGCACCCCTATTTGCATCCTTGCCCAGAGCCCCGGGATAGGCAGAAGTGCATCGAAGGCCTGGGGAAAGCTTCCATGTCGGAAGAAGGCCTTGAGGTACTTGTGCTTCTTACTCTTCGGGTTATGCTGCAGGATGGCCCACCATGCGCTGGCCGCATCGTGGTCAGGTGGGCTACCCAGATGCCCTTCATAGAACCGAAGTCTTTCGTAAATCAGACCGTCAGGGGGCTGGCGCTGGTTTGGAAAATGCTCCCGAAGAGAACGAACGAGGCGCGAGTGGAGTGACTGTGTGTCGGATTGCTCGCCTAGACAGCATGGCAGGCATTAGCATCTTTGACAGGTTGGGAACGCCGATGAGCCCCGATACTTTGCAGAAGAGAAGGGAACCAAGGGGCACTCACTGCGATCCTCCACATACACATCGACGACCCACCACCGATTCTGACCGTAGAGCCTTTTTCGTGCTGCAGTAATGATGTTCTCGTGGCCTTGGGCGCGAAGCGACATATCCAATGGGACCGTCAATTCAGGAAACGGCTCACCGTCAATCTGACACAGAGAAATTCGGTGTCCCCAGTCTGCAGCATCCACTAGAACCGGTACATGGTAATCTCGGTTGATGCGGAGGCATCCTTGCAGCTCAAGAATTCGCTCCAGTCGCATGG